TGAAAATGGATGTACTGGCGGTAGTGTATGGGCGATTTCAATGGTTAAAGCCAGAATCAGATTCCGCATTGAAGATTGAGATTGAAGATTGAAAATTGAAAATTGTCCGATAGAAATCAAGTAATTTTAGCTCCTATAGTTTTGATTGATCAAATTTCAGTCTTTCAATCTTCAATCTCAATCTTCAATGCGTAGTCTGAGGGGCTTCGCACTATAATAAATAGGTACAGGCAATAGAGAACAGAGAACAAGAATTTCAACCTATCAGAACCTGTGTAGTCCACAATACATGATTTCTGATAGGTTGAAATTCTTATTCTCTATTCCCTGTTCCTTTTATTGTGCAGAGCCTCTAACAGGAAAAAAAACCGGCATGGCCTCTTTCAGATTTCTCTCTGGTCAGAGCATGCGCAGTGATATATTTAATTATTTTAATTGAAATGCATTGGACGCAATGTATAGACACTACTGGTAACCCCGGATCTACAATAGGGTTTTAAGCCTTAAGGGGATGCTGGAGTGTCCTGTTTTACCATCAATTTTTAAAGACTCTTTTCTCTTAATTGTGTTTATGGATTGAAAAGTCCTTCTCCACAATCAAAGTATCGACAACAACACAGGCTGCCAGCTACAATGTAACGCGAAAAATGAAAGAAAATTAAAAATTGTAGTTTTGTCACCGGCTCCTGCAGTCAACTCGTCACAATATGTGCTGCATATAAGAGTTTCAGATTTTACCCGTTTAAAATAAGTAGCCAGCAGCCTACAGAAAACCTTGAACAACAATCCTATGCTTTTAGAAACGATGTAGAGGCTTTGGTACAAGAGAAAAGAGTCGCCAAAAATTTCGTTCGTATACTACAAATAAAATTGACGTGAAGCCATGAAACCGTGCAGTATTTTAGTTGATCTCTTTCTAAGAGATGGCGTTGCAATACGTCAGATAAGGACAGATGAATGCGTTTGAGCGAGACACAACGATATAGATAAGTATAAGAAATGAATGAAAGATGTCACTATTATCGAATTTGGAATGTAAAAAAGTCTGTACTATCGACTTTGATTAACTTCGACCGTCACTCCAGTATCCCCTTAAGCCATAAGAAATTAACCAGTCTTAACTAAGTCGTTCAAGTTGGCTATTGGCCAACTTCACCGATTATGACTTAAGATCGCTTTAGCCGGGAGCACATAGAAAAACATAATGGCTCCGACACACCAGCGCGATGTTCGTCGCGCGCGACACGCGATATCCAATGAGAGTATACCTTTAGAATGAGAACATCGGTAAAGCTGTACACTCATTGGATATCGCGTGTCGCGCGCGACGAACATCGCGCTGGTGTGCCGGAGGCATAAAGGTATATTTTCATGAGCTGCTCTAACCGGCTATTTTATAGCGTTTTCGATTGGGCAAAAGTTAGTGCGCACCAGTGCGCACTCAGTTCACACCAACACTAGACGAGTTCCATGGGTTGCACTGAATAGTGCAAGTTCAAAAGAATACGCCAAGATTGTCAGTGCTAAAGCTGAAACTCATTTTTGTTCACTTTGAAGCAATGTTCAACAAAATGTTACAAAACCACAGTAAAAGATATTAAGAGTAGGGACAAGACCCTGTTTTCAATTCAACTGCGCAGATTTGCTTGTCCCTATGTATATCCTTAACTGTGATAAAACGTGCACTGAACTGGCACCGTCAAAATATCTCGTGCCACTTAGTGCGCATTGAGTGCGCACTACGCGAGTGTCGTTCGATCAAATGAACACGTGACACTAGCCAAATGCGCATTGGCACTGCCAATCGAACACGCTCTTGACACTGAGTGCAGCCAGTGCACCCCAATCGAAAACGCTATTAGCGACAAAAAGGATCACGTGATCAAAATGGATATTTGATATTCGTCAATTTTGACCACGTGATTCTTTTTGTCTCTGAAACAGCCGGTTTGAGCAGCCCGTAAAAATTTACCTTTAAGGATCATCTACAATAGGGATCCGTAACCGTAACGTAACCGTAATGTTATGTTAATGGTACGTTTCCACTGAGCGCGTCACCCTTCGCGTCGTCCATCGCGTCACGACGCGACGCAAAAGAGAGAAAGAGTGAAGTTTATATATGTACACAACCCCTCTCTTTCTCCCTTTCGCGTCGCATCGTACGCGATCGACAATGCGACGTGTGATGCGCTCAGTGAAAACGTACCATTACGGTTACGTTATGGTTACGGATCTCTATTGTAGATGATCCTTTATGGTACGTTTCCACTGAGCGCGTCACGCGTCGCGTCATGAAAGAGAGAAAGAGATAAGATTATATAAATACACAACCCCTCTCTTTCTTTCCTTCGACAAAGCGACGCGTGACGCGCTCAGTGGAAACTCAGCCTTAGTCTGTAAGACGTAATCAGTAAGGAAATCGTAACATTGGATTCGCTACTGGCCTTACGGTCTCTACTGTAATTGGCCAATTCACTTACTGCTTGCGTGCTACGGTCTTACGTTCTTGTATGTGTCATGGGCTTTAGGGCTGCCGCACACACCTTCCGTAATAGTAATCATAAAGGCTCAACTACATCTATCGTAATGTTTATCGTAAGCTTCTTACGATCCTTGCGATAGCCAATCAAAAGCGTTACAATACACATTGATATTTCTAATTGGCTATCGTAAGAATCGTAAGGAGCTTACGATAAACATTACGATAGATGTAGCTGGGGCTTAAGGCCGGAATCAGACTATGCATTGAAGAATAAAATTGAAGATTGAAAAATTGAAATTTGACCAATCAGAACAAAAGGAACCAAAATTTCTTTGTCCTCATTGGTGAAATTTCAATCTTTAATCTTTAATCTCAATCTTCAATGCATAGTCTGATTCCGGCCTAAGACGTACCATAAGAATTAGCCAATCACAGTCGAGAATTCTTTTGAACTCTTAATTCTGATTGGCTGATACTTACGGTACGGTTTATGATTACTGTTACGAAAGGTATGTGCGACAGCCCTTAGAACTTCAAGGCCCGTCTACAATACACGGAGTAAGAAGTAAGAGTAAAAAATTGACCAATCACAGTCGATTATTCTTCTCACATTCGACTGTGATTGGTCAATTTCTTACTCTTTTTACTTCGTGTATTGTAGACGACGCCACAGACTTGCGGCTTATTGTAGAAGAGCTGTAACAGTAATCGTAAACGTAGCGTAGGTTATCAACCAATCGCTTTGCTCGATTCGGTCATCCGTAACCTTAACCGTAACAATCGAGCAACTCAATTGGTCGAAAACCTGACCGTTAGGTCGGAATCAGATTAAGCATTAAAGATGAGATTGAAGATTGAAAGATTGAAGTTTGACCAATCAGAACAAAAAAAGCCAGAATTTCTTTGTCCTCATTGGGAAAATTTTAATCTTTAATCTTCAGTCTCAATTTTCAATGCATAGTCTGAATCCGACCATATGCTGGATTTACACTGAATCCGACGTGCGTCGTACGACGCTCTGCAACCAATCAGAAAACTGGATTCCGATGATACGAAACAAAATCCATCGGAATCCTGTTTTCTGATTGGTTGAAGAGTATCGTACGACGCAAATCGGATGCAGTGTGAATCCAGCATTAAGCCGGAATTAAATTACGCATTAAAGATTGAAAGATTGAAATATGACCAATCAAAACAATAGGAACAAAAATTCCTTGTTCTCATTGGTCAAATTTCAATCATCAATCTCAATTTTCAATGCGTTGTCTGATTCCGACCTTATTGAATTTTTTGTGCGGCAGCCCTTATTGGTTTTTGATGGGGAAAACACATAGGAGTTTAGTGATTTTTAGCAGGAAATATAAAACGTCTAGTGAGATTTTGACAACTCGAGTTGGCAATAATACCCGAGAATCTCTCACGAGAATGACGTCGCCTCGATCGACTCGGGAATTTCGCGCGGACCGCGCGTCGGTCCTATTTTAGTTACGTGTGTGGGTGAAAGAGCTGCACTCGATTCCGACGCTATTTTCGTCGCTTCTGCGTCCTCGCAAGCGAACAGCGGACTGGTGCGTGCTTGTGTATGCGCGCGCGAAAGAGGAAGGTTAGTTTCGGGCAAGTGAGCCCAAGTTCGTGTAACGAAATGTCTCGCGAGCCCCCCCCCCCCCCTCCCTTTCTCCCTAGGACGCATCATAGAATAATTTATGCTTGGTTTATGCTTCGGTCTTAACCCTAAAATCCTAAAATTTAGCCAATAGAGCTATCAGTCTCTCTCTTAATTGGTCCTAACTGAAATCTGTATTCCATTGGCTGAATTTTAGGATTTTAGGGTTGAGACAGAAGCATAAACTAGGCATTAAGGGGCTACGCACAATGAAAGGAATAGGGAATATGCTGGATTCACACTGCATCCGATTTGCGTCATACGATGCTCTGCAACCAATCAGAAAACAGGATTCTGATGATACAAAGCAAAATCCATCGGAATCCTGTTTTCTGATTGGTTGCAAAGCGTCGTACGACGCAAATCGGATGCAGTGTGAATCCAGCAATAGAGAATAACAATTTCAACCTATCAGAAATCATGTATTGTGGACTACACAGTTTCTGATAGATGTAAATTCTTATTCTTTGTTCCCTATTCCTTTCATTGTGCGCAGCCCATAACGCGGCCTAGGTACTAAACACGAATTGAGGAATGTCGAACACGACAAAAAACTTATATTCGATAGTCACGACTGTCACATTTTTGTATACGTATACCATAACGGTACTCTGACGTTTTTTCGTCTCCACTCTAGACCAACAAATGCAAATCAGACTTTTTTTGCATTGTTCAATCATTCATTTACAAAGTGAGTGTTTGCGATCGAGGAAGAGAGGGGTGAGAAGAATTTAGAAAGGAGTCGGAATGGGAGGGGTCTCGTCTCCCCTTCCCCGATGAGAAGCTATGAGCAGCTGGGAAGAAAATGGTAGACAGCGAATGAGACTTGCACCTCTACGAGGGGTAGCGGGGATGTTACGGATACGGAGTTAAGGCGGGGTAGGGGAAATCGTGCGCCGGCGAGCAAATCGTATATGTCAGATTCGTGGCAGAGGGGTCAGCGCGAGGGAAGGAACGACACGAAATCGAACGTTTTCTGGGCTTAGTGGGTACGTTTTCGTATTGGGTTGTTGGGTCTCGTTGCACTTCTCTTCCTTTCTTTCTCCCTCTGCCGATCCGAAGATAATCTCGCTCGCAATCCCCCCCTCCTCCGAATTCACCTCCATTCTTTAGTCATCGCTCTCATTACTCCTTTGGTTTTATCATTTTTTCCTTCTCTCTTCTCCCTTCTATTTTTTTTTATCTCAAACCCTTTCCCACTCTTTGATATACGCGTCGGCGTCGCTGTCATCGTACAAACGAACGTACACACATATCGATCTTTGATCGAGCGTTTCTCTCAGCCGTTTCGCAGGAAAGGAGCGTTTACAGCTTTTCCTCGGGGTTTTTTCTCGTTTTTCGTTCTCTCTGTCCCTTTCTCCCCCCCCCCTCTCTCTCTCTCTCTCTCTCACGCCAGCCGCCGAATCTTTCTGCCATTGTAACGAGACAAACGTAACGAAGTTGTGTGACATCAAGTTTTTGGCGTTTGAAGGAACGTGAGACACGCACACACAAGCGGGCAGGATGAACGACATGGAGGCCTACGGGGATGGATACATGGCACCCGAGGAGGAATGGGAGAGGGAGGGTCTCTTGGATCCCGCTTGGGAGAAGCAGCAAAAAAAGGTGAGTAAGTGTTATCATAGTCGAGATTTTTTTCCTTTTGTTCTCTTTGTTTTTCTTTCGTTCCTCTTTCCTTTGCTTTGAGAGTCTTTTCGGATCTAGTCTAGGATTACCAACCTTTCTGTAGTTTTTTAAAAATAGATACATGTGAACGTTTACACTTTTTGTACTCGTTTTAAAATCCCAAAACTTCTAGTCATTAATTGAAATTTTATACTTATAAAATTATATTAATAAAAATTGTCAATAAAAATTATAATATATTTTAGAAATTTTATTTTATTAAATACCTACATTTAATGCAGAAAAAATAATATCCCCTTCTTCCACTCTCGAATTATCTCTTTTTAAAATAATATACTCGTATGATTCAGATTTCATGGTAACCTTAGTCTAGTTGTATCAATTTGTGTTGTTTTTCAAATCGGACCACACCATCGACTGTAAATTCATTCATCTCGCACTTTTTTATGTTATATTTTTGTAGGAGTAACTCTCGATTTATGCAAAGAGCAGTCACGCAACCTGTCGTCGAATTGTGTACAATCGAATTTGTCTTTTTCACTTTTTAACTCTTAGGAGAAGATCGAGGTGATTGAGCCTAGCAAAAACCGAAACTCATTAAGCTCCTAATTAGGGAGAGTAACGAAAATTTCGAAGAAAATATCTTACATTTGTTTTATTCAGTTGCACCTTACCACAAATACATTCTAACCATAGATAATACCGAGATCCGGTATGTACACCTGTACCCTTCAAAAGAGAAAGAGAAAGAGAGAGAACATTAGGTCGGTTTTTTCCTTTATCTGACACAAGCGCAGCTGCCTATTGTAAAGAACAGAAAAAGGCCGAGTATTTAGTCTCTCGGAATTCAACACCATTGCATTAAGGTTTATCCAGACTTGCATAGCTGTATAAACGTATACATAAAAAAAATTAGTCATTCGTATTTTACGTTCACTTTCATAATAGAAATGCAATTGAATAATTTTCTTTATATATATCTCTAAGAGTGTACGTGACATAAATATGTCAAGTCTTTCTTTTTATGTTTATGAAACGCCTTTGAGAGTGAAAAAAAGAATTTGAGCTTAAAAGTAGCTAAAGAATTAAATAACAGTATCACAAGTCATTGATACTCTCGTTTGCCAAAAGTAACTTACATAAGAATGAAACGATGATCGAGCTCAAAAATCAATTCCTTTAGATTACTAATCTTATCGATGAAGTTGAATAAGTAATACCTGCATCAAGTAATTCGAATTCATAATATTATAACACTTCGTTTTTGTACATTCATAATAAATCCCTCGTTATTTCACGAATACGAAACAAATAAAATAAATTCATTCTATCGTTTTGCTAAAAAATTTGTTTTATTAAAAAGATGTGTTTATTGGAAATTTAATTATTATTATCAATATTGACATATCATGTGATAGATCATGATTGAATTATAAAGTAAGCCTTAGGAAATGAAAAGCGAAATGTACTACAACTTAATAATTTAATTACATGTGCTACTAATATATGCTACAAACGTAGCACATAAATTGTATATTATACTTTTATAAATGCATTTCAATTACATGATTTTCTAAATGTAATTCAAACGCTGCTAAATAGGATTACATTTCTCTTGCATGTGCTTGTCTTACATCTAAAATATTATTTTCGAAAAAAGCTAATAAATATTAAAAATGTTTCAAATAATTTTCTCATTTTGTTGTTAAAACATAACATTTATATCGGAAATGTTTAGACAAAAATTGTCAGGTGGTAGAAAGACAACGAGAAAATATGATTTATCTGATTTAGATTCAATTTTTTATTATCTGGTTAATCTATGGTTTAGACTTTATCTCGATTAACTTAATGCTCTCTCTCTCTCTCTCTCTCTCTCTCTCTCTCTCTCTCTCTCTCTCAAATTGTGTTTTTCTAGCTATGATTAACGTTAAACTAATGTTGTTTTGTTGATGGTTCTATAGTGATAACTTTAAAAGTTACTACAAAACTATTAGGTCGGTGATTAATCATGGCTAGAAAAATATATTATTATCAGGTTAAATATAACCATAAGTTAACGAGAAAATAAAAGACCGGGCCTTAAAGTGAATTTCGAGCTTCTCGCGAACATCTCTTTTTTTACGGTTCTCGCTTCACAACTTGTTTCGTACATTCATAGATCTATTCATTAGATCTATTCATAAGATCTATACGTACATTTGACGAAACCATTAGATACTGATAAATTGGAGCAGTCTCGAGTATGCATTTGCAAGTGTTTTCTTCATTTTTGGCAGGAGCTCAAGGCTCTCCCGGAGTCCCCACCTCTTCTCGTATATCGGCCGCAGCCCTTTGGATTGTATTTTCAGACTTTATGACAAAAATAATCAAGAGCGCAATGAGTCATGCTCGTGATTTTCACGATGACTCGTAGCTGTTCCCCTTCGTATCGACAAAGCCGTTCCTCTTTCTCGTTATCTTTTTTTCCCTCCTCAGTCCGACGTGTCTGGTCGCGTTAAGTGACAGCGCGACATCAAGTCGGGTATTATGTTAAGCCGATACTGATAATAATGGTTATACACATCAAACATTATACGTCAATAAAACGTAACGCGTCTGAGATTTTTAGAAAAAAAATTAGGATCGCTAAAAACCGCAAACTCTGTTTATAAATTTTCTTTCAGAATGCAAATTTTATTATATTAATTAGATATATATATATATATATATATATATATATATTTAAAAATCAGATATATAACGTTAGGTTTGACTTGTCAACCGGGCATCTTTGGTTATAATGGCTTCTGCTACTCTGTATTTCTTTGGAGGTCAATACGGGTCAACCGGATACCGGACAAGACTCCATGAAAACCGGACAGTTGGCAACCCTAGTTGCGCCGCGAACATTTTTCGTAATACCTCTAATTTTAGAGATTCGCGTACCCCGTTCCGGAAACGTGCGCGGCCCGAAAACCTGCATTTACTGAGACCTCACATTGCTGTGAAAATTTGTATCGTTCGTCGAACCGCACGACGTATCGAACGTTTATTCATGTTTCGCAGAAAAGCTTAGCTTACGCAAAGTTTCATCATTTCGAATAATGTTTTATAACGGCGATTCCGCAAACTCAAAGCGGAAGGAAGGAAATATGAGAGGCACAAAAACAATGAAAGTCAATTTCTTCCTCTTTTATTCTTTTCATTTTTTTTTTTTAACAAAAAGTTGTCTGTGATCAATAAATTAATTAATAATTCAAGCAACTCGTAATTTTCATATTTAGACTTTCTTTCTCATTAGCAGAAATATAAAATATTATTCACGTAGTGAATAAAATATAAATTACTAAATTTTTTTTATCTACGAATCGTAAACGTTAACTCTTTAAGATAACGTTGATTGCGCTCATTCTAAATTGTCGACTTACGAATTTGTATCAATTAATTACGTTTATCTATTATTAATTGAAATTGGTCAAAGAACATGTTGGTAGAAATAACTATTAGACTATTATGTCTCACGTATTTTATTTGTTTTACAAATAAATAAATTCTATTCCTTACTTACATCGGAACATGTTATCCTTTGTTTATTTTAATTTTTAATTGAAATGCTACTTAATATAGTTTAAAAAATCATTATACATAATAGTTTATTGCAATATAATTCGCGAAAGTTTTATAAGATCCGATGAAGAATGTATGACAAGAATTTAAGGGGAGAGTCTGCTACGCCTGCGTTCATACCTTATCGCAAATATCTGTACATTTAGTTAGATATACATATATCTATATATATATATATATATATATATATATAT